AGTCAGTCCAAATGGCATAACCACGAACTCGTAATGACCATAACGCGTCCGAAATGCGGTCTTCTTCACATCCTCCTCTGCTATGGGTATATGATGATATCCTGACGCAAGATCGATCTTCGAGAACCAAGAGGCTCCCTGCAGCTGGTCCAACAGCTCATCGATCCGCGGCAAAGGGTACTTCTTCTTAATAGTCACCTTATTCAAACCTCTATAATCAATACAGAGTCTGAAGCTACCATCCTTTTTATTCACGAATAGCACAGGTGCTCCCCATGGCGAGCTACTTGACTGGATAAACCCCTTATCCAACAAGTCCTGAAGCTGCTTCTTCAGCTCAGCCATTTCTGCAGGTGCTAAACGATAAGGAGCCTTTGATACGAGCGCCGTCCCGGGCTCAACTTCAATCGTAAAGGCATCACCTCGCGTGGGAGGCAGTCCTTGCAGCGGCTGGAATACGTCCGCATATTCAGATGCTACAGGAATCGCACTAAGATCTGCCACTACTTCCTCTTCTACCATCGAAATGGTGGCCATATATGCTTCATGCCCCTTCTCCAAAAGCTCTTCTGCTTGCAACATCGAGATGATTCTGACTCCTGACTTCAACTGAACGCCTTGGAGCGTTATCCAACGATCCTCCTTGGGAATCCTGACCCTCGCCTTGTGACAGTCCAAAGTCGCACGGTATCGGGTCAGCCAGTCCATTCCCAAGATGGCCTCATAGTGGTTCAGTTTTATTTCTATGATATCCCAAGGCAAATCCATACCTTCCAACGTTATGGAGACTTTAACGTGCACTCCCGTGGATTGTACCAGCTCGGTTCCAGCCGTCTGGATCCCCTTGGACTTCGGAACACAGGTTCCCCTGAACGTCCAAACCCTCACTATCTCCGGACAAACGAAGCTATGGGTAGCTCCCGAGTCGAACAGAGTGTGAGCTGCTATACCTCCAACGAGGACCGATCCTACAGGGTTTCTACTTCTAAGGCTCTACTCCAAACACACAACTAACACACATAACTTAAAACCTCTAAACCATAACAACTATGTACTTACCAGTGATCGGTTCCACACCAGCGTGGTCTCCTGCCATGAGCAAACGCGGTCCAGGGGCGTGTCTCTTTGGTGCTGGCGGTAGCTGTCCCTGATTGCCTCCTTCGTGTGGTACTAGCATTATGCAGTCCCTTGCATTATGCCCAACTCGTCCACAGCGGTAGCACGACTCCACTGGCGCTACTGCTGGACAATCCCGAGCCATATGGCCCGGTTGGTTGCACCTGAAGCATGCCGTTCCGTGACACGCTCCATGGTGATACTTCCCACACCTGTTACACGGATGCGATGGACCGTTCCATTGGTTCGCATTGTCCCAATTTCGCTTCTGGGTTTCCGCCCCCTTAGCGACCTTAGCTTGGGCGTTCCGTGCAACCTTCTGCTCCTCTCCCATTCCAATCTCTTAAGTTGCAGCCGTTTCCACGAGGTCAATCATACTGTCATACCTTCTTATGGAGCAGCGGTTCTTGAGTTCAACCTGCATTCCCTTAAGGAAAAGTCGGATCAGCTCTTGCTCTCCTGGGTGTTGACCAGAAAATCTCCTCAAACGACTGAACTCCTCCTCGTACTCACGTACGGTCTTGCTTCCCTGACGCAAGTCTTGGAATGCATTCACCATCTTTTCCATCGCCTCGCGAGGAAAGTACTTACGGGAAAATTCTGTCCTGAAATCTTCCCAGGTGAGTTCATACCGTCCCTCAGCCTTCTCCACAAGACCTTCCCACCATACCAGCGCCTCGTCCTTCAGGTACTGTACGGCCAGGTCTCCGCGGTATGCTAGCGGACACCTTGCTCCATCAAGATTCCTCTCCAACTTTTTCTCCAGTTGTCTGCGGCAGTAGGATTGCTCTTACCCGCAAACATCTCAGTTCCCATGAGACGAACATGATTCATAGCCTCCCAATAGGTCGGTACAGGCTCCCTGTCCTGCCCACGGCCCAAAGGTGGTGGTGGGGGTAAATGTACCTCCACTCGCGGCTCATCACGGCGCGGATTGGCACCTCCATACACTCCTTCTGCATTAAGGTTTCCACGAAGAGGATTTCCATACCTCTCGTGGTACCTCAACAGCTCTTCTCTTTCAGCAGCTGCCTCTGCAGCTCGAGCCTGCTCTGCAACGCGAGTTTCCTCAGCAATGCGAGCCTGCTCAGCCACACGAGTTTCCTCTGCAATACGCGCTTATTCTGCAACTCGCGCTAGCTCAGCCTCACGCGCCTGCTCTTCCCGAGCCTCGGCGGCAGCATGGTCCTGTTCCGCAGCTAAAGCCTGTTGCGCAGCTAAAGCTTGAGCATGTGCTTCCTCTTCCTGTTCCCTGGCACGAGTCCGCCTGGTATTGCCTCCATTCACACTTCCTGTTGAAGTGGTTTGGGTTCCTTCCTCACTCTCACGGCGTGCTGCAGCCCTAGTCAAACGATGTCCCTTTGGTGGCATCTATTCACAAGAATAAGTAATCAGAATCGTGTCCTCCGATTCGATCAGCCACAACTAATGCAGATACAGTAGACACTAGACGATGTAGACAACAGATGAAGACAGCAGACACAATGCAGACTGTAGACAGCAGATGAAGATGAACTGAAGATAACTAAAAACACCAACTTACTGAGCCTGGAGAGCAGAGTGACGTGGTGTGATGATTCTGTTTTACTTTTGAAAACCCCAACCCACTTTTAAAAACTTTTTAAAAACGGTTTTACTTTGAAAACATGTCTCTCGGGTCAGAACCGGTTTGACTGGTAACCTTGGCTCTGATACCAAACTTGTGACACCGCCTCTCCTCATATGAGATGACGTGTTAAACACTCAACTTCCCAACCAAGTTACCACAGCATTAACTCCAAATCAATACTCATTTCATAGATATAAATCCAAATAGTCTTGCAAATAACCAACTTAAACTCAAATAAATCATAATCAAGTCTCAAAACCAACTGAAAACCATTTGAAATAGAAAGCTAAGTGTCTTAAGGACCCCAAGGACCGCACTAGAGAACCAGCTCGCCACCATCACACGCCAATCACTCCTGCCGCTCCTGCTCACCTACGCAAGGGGAAAAGGGAAAGGAGGGGATGAGTAATTTAGATTACCCAGGAGAATGCATACATGTGGTCCACCACACATATCATTACACAACCTGTCGCTAGCTAGAGCCAAACGAACAAGCGCAGTTTAACGATTCCTCTAACAATCAACAACAAATATGCAATGCACAAAGCGAGCATACTGAACGCCTCTCGTTACAGTATCCCACGGATTAACCTCCGCAAATTTCGTATGTCTTAAACTCTTGCTAGGGGACGCATCTTCGCAAGAGTCTAAGTTGCTGCACTACTGGTCCGTCGACCTGAGCGCCACATGGCACTACGACAAGCACAACCTCTATCGCAGGCGTCAATCATGCCAGCAGTGCCTCTCACTGCTGGGTCCTAATGCAGTTTGTGCTTTTACACACACTATATGCAATGCAATGCAGTTCACAATTCTCACAAGCAATATTCAAGCAACAATCAACAGTATTAATCCATACCTGGATCTATGTTCTGAAAGTAAATAACAACTTAGCAAACAGCACAGATCTACAAGTTACGACCTAGAGCGGAACTTGTTGGGGATTTAGAGGACTTGGAAGTCAGATTTAATCAGGAGAAGCTAGCTAACGATATCGAAGGGAAGGCATGGACACATCCTCACCTTTGCCTAATCGAATGAAAGCTAAAAAGGGATCTAGGATTTAAGGGATCTAACGACGGAAGGCAAAAGACTCAAGAAAACGGCGGCTAGGAACGGCGGAACGATGGCGGCTCTCTTCGGCGGTGGCGGTCAGCGGCGAAGATGAACGGCGGCGGCGGCTTGCTCGGTTAGGGTTCCTAGGTTCTATCTCTAAGTGCTTTGGGAGTTATGATGGAAAACTTAACTCTCTAGTTCTGCTTATATAGGAAAGACTCTGAGAAAACCCTAATACTCTTTCCTTTTGGGCTTCTGACACGTGGGCCTTTTTTTCCTATTGGGCCTAGATACAGGTGTTACAATGGAGCTCGTTGGAATTTCTTTCACAATCTACAAAACAATCGATGGAGACATCCCTGAATCTATCTGTTTACTCAAAGAACTGATTGTGCTCAACTTGACCAATCTTGAATCACTGGATCTCTCTCAAAATAGGCTATCCAGCAAAATCCCACCATAGCTGGGGAAACTCACGTTTCTGGAGCGGATGAACTTTTCTTACAACAGTCTTGAAGGTCCAATAATACCACAAGGCACTCAGATTCAAAGTCAGGATAGTTCTTCTTTTGCAGAGAATCCCGGCTTTGCGGTGCTCCTCTCCAAGAAACCTGCGGCGGAAAAGAAGAACCAACAAAGCAAGGGAAGATGAAGAAGAGGAAGACAAAGATGAAGTATTCAGCTGGATTGCAGCTGCAGTAGGCTACTTTCCTGGTGTGTTCTTCTGTGGACTCACCATCGGCCATATTCTGATTTCATATAAACATTGAATGGTTCATGAGGATCTTTCACTTTTTTACTTAATCATAAAGCATAGTAGTTGCTTGATGATATCTATATATATATATATATATATATATATATATATATAATAGTCATCTCCATGTCGTTTTGAAATTAATACATTAATGTCGTAAAAAATTTGGTACCCAAGGTTGTATGGAGAAACAAAATTATATAATTGTTGTGAAGAATGCGTTCATGTGTTTGATGTGTCTGCTTTTGTTTCCTCTTCAGTTTGCTCGTTTTGTGTTCAAGAGCATATACGTAGTAACGTAGAGTATGAGTGCTGATTGAAGTAAACGTAGAGCAGATTTAATGTTTAAATATCCTTTGCATATCCAATAAGAATTGCATTTAGTGGACTATTATGGACACTCCATGGTCATGTATTTTGTTTGCTTAATACAGCTTGAGTACAACAAAGAGTGTTCTTTTTAAAAAAAAAAAATGTAGATGAACAAAAAGTGTTCTTTGTTTTTGTGCAGCAAAACTGAGGCAACCATGTCAGGGATAAATGAACAGGTTCAGATGGCAACTGTTATGTGTCCAATATGGTCAAAGTTATGATTGCTTAGGGTTTGATTTTTCATAGACTGAAAGTGAGTCATATAAGATGGTGGCCAATAAACACAAGGTGGATCATAACTTGAAAACATTCAAAGTAGCGTTTACCATTTGCATTTTTCTTGTGGTGATCCAACTCTTTCCTTTCAAGGGCTCATTTGCTGCTTTACTTTGATTTGGACTCTGTATTTCTGAGATTTTGACAAGGGAGAAGAAGATGCTGACATGGCAGCTAGCTGGCAGAATGATTGGTTCAAGAAAAGTCAGGGAAGTGAAGACTGAAGCTTGGAGATTCATTTTGCTTATAAAGAAGTTACATTCTGTTATTAGCTTCTTATGCAGATTTTACAATTGTATAGAACTAAGCCTCCAGATTGTCATGAGATCTGAGATTGAATCTGCAGTTGTAATCCTGTTATCTTCTTCAATCGAATATTACATTTCCTTTCCTCAGTTGAATCGATAGTATCAGATTTATTAATAGAAAGAGTCTGAGAAGAGATTTCTCAAAGCTATTCAAAGTCTGAATCAAAGAGCCTGCCATACGCAAGTAGATACAATATTCAACTATCCTTTGCAAATCATCATTAAATGCAAACTCCTAGGGGCTATAGGTTTAACCTTCAAGCTTCGTCCTTAACGTTATGATCAATTGACAGCATCGGGAAGATCTTTCAGTACCTAAGCAGATGTAACAATGCTCTTCATTAGTTTCTTACACACCTAAGACAAGCTCCGGGTTTTCCACAAGTAACAGTACTATTATTACAACGATGTGAGACTTTTGTTTCAACGTTGTTGCATATGAGAAGAAGGTTGTTCTCTGTTGTTACCTGGTAAAGATGCCATGAAGCATAAGCATCGGTCGCTGCGTATTGTAACTGCCCCTTTGACAGAGGACGAACCTCCCAGTTTCCGAGCCTGATTCTGTTCGGCTTCAGTAGCTGCAAAGTCATTCCCCAAAGTGTTGTTTCTCACTATTCTTCTCCAAATTCAAATCAAATCTTTCGAAATCAACCAAATGAGATGGATAAAAGGATACCTCTTTGCAAACAAGTGTCTCAGTTAGCGACGCGAGACCCCATTTCTTCGAGTCTCCGCCAATTTTCTTGTTGGCTAAATCTGAAAGATCCTCGACATCTTTGATAGACACTCCATGGTCATGGAAAAGCTTCACAGAGTCACCGTCAATTCCAATACCTACCTATATATATATGAATCAGAACTTGATACATACATGGTGTTACAACAAGAACTTTGATCACTTCGAGATATTAAACAAACCTTTACAAGTGTTGGATCCTCAATAAGATGTTGGAGACTATGTGGGATGCCAGAGTGGATAATGTGCATAACATCACAATAATTATTATCTACACATATCTGAACAACAGCAACCTTCCCCGGGAGAACACCTAAACAATCCATATATTCGCAAATTATCAATAATTAGATCACCAGAACTTCTCCCAGGATAATGCATATAGTAGCAAACATCAAAAAGTTCATGAATATGTCCCCATTGTGTAGTTATCTTATAATGATCATGTGTGGTTTTGAGTTGGCATAAAATTTCCAGACCTACAAGATACAACTCTTATCTTTCTTCATGAACCCGAAGAGAGCAAACTCCACACTGAAATATACTTTTAACTTAAATGCAGGACCACAGATAAAGAAGTTTACAGTCTCAGTCACAAGATATTATCAAGCAACTATCACTACAACATCGACGAGTAGACAAGTATAAGAGATATTAGTAGAACAAAGTAGCATATGAAAAGCTTGCAGAAATGAGTTTCGAGACTGATCAAAACTGCACAAGTGAGCCATATAGTATTTCTTCCGACCATTTAGAAAGGAGACAGCAACCGTAAGCTCTCTCTGATCTAAAGACGAGAATGTATGCATCCATAGAGATAAAATGCACTATCACATCCATTTCATTGAACAATCCCTACTTCAAAACTGCATTTGAAAGAGACAAGAAGAATATGTGATACCTTTCCTAAAACTGGGTCTCCACTCAATATCAAAGCCCACAATAGCTCTTCCAGAATGATCTCTCTTGGTATCAAGAACCTTAAGAAGCTGCATTGCTCGCTTATCAACCTCACTAGCAGTCTTACTATACAAAACCCTACCACCAAACCTCATCGCTGGAAAACTCTTAGCTACAATAAGCAAGTCGAAACACAAACATCAATAATCAAAGGAGAAGTTAAATTGCTAACACTGTAGGGAACAAAAAGCCCTGATTTTTTTTTGAAATTGGGACGGTGACAGTTGACGAAAAACAAGAACTTAGAAATCGAATCAGAGAATTGAAATCACCAGGAACAGATTGATAACAGATCACAGGGAAATTCGATTTGTGATAGTGATGAATCGAGAGGAGTGTTGATTATTACCTCTGCAACGAGAGAGTGGGAATCGCTTGTAAGCTGTAGGAGAAGTGATGGAACGAGGCAGTTGGTGACGGAAATTAGGGTTTTGATTTGGATTCTTGTGACCATTGCCGGATGTCGCAGGCAGTACGGTCGGAGTACGGGAAGAAGAAGAAGAAGAAGTGTGTGAGATATAGGAAGCTTCTGCGGCAAAGACAGCGAGAAGCTCCTCCTCTGTAAAATCCACGTCGTCGTCCCAACTTGACGACATTCTTTTATTTTAAGAGCAAAAGAAAAGAAACAAAATGAATACTTTGGAGTTTGGAGGGAGGGATACGAACCGAGTCTCGGCTTCAACTGGTATAAAAAAAACGAGGAAGAATACCTTAAAATATTTATCAATATTCGATATTTTCCTTAAAATACACAACTGGTATAACCAATATTCGATATTTTCCTTTACGAGAAAATATTATAATGAACCTCTTCAGAGTTTTCTCGTACCACTTTGAAAATATCTCTTTCTTTTTATAATGCAGAACTGTATTAAAAAAATTCTGATATTTTTATGGGAGGGAAGTTTGTTTTCTCCTTTCGTGGGCTGTATAAAATGCAGAATTATGTTCTGACTGAAAGCTGAACTGTCTTTCTTGATTTTCATTGACATTTTTTACATGAATATATATATAGGAATTGATCAGTGATTAATGGAATTTACCCTTGACTGACATAGTCAATATCTAATCGTATCAATCAAATTAATTACATGATTTGCTTAATATCTATCATCCTCCCGCAGTTGAAGCGTTGGGAGTCCTGACGGTTAAATTGTCCTTGAATTCATTAAAGAATGAGGTTGGTAAGCCTTTAGTAAAGATGTCTGCATACTGGAGAGACGATGGAACATGTAGAACTTTAATCTGACCCATTTTCACTTTTTCCCTCACAAAGTGAATGTTGATCTCAATATGTTTCGTTCGTTGATGCTTTACCGGATTTGTCGAGAGATAGACTGCACTGATGTTGTCACAATAAACAATAGATGCCTTTGTGATTTGGCAGTGAAGTTCAATAAGGAGATTCCTTAACCAGCAAGCTTCTGCTACAGCATTTGCGACGCCTTTGTATTCGGCTTCGGCGCTGGATCGAGACACTGTAGGCTGACGTTTAGAAGACCAAGAAATAAGATTAGGACCTAGATAGAGACAATACCCGGATGTTGAGCAACGTGTATCAGGACAGCCTGCCCAATCTGCATCACTGTATGCAGTGAGATCGTTGGTCGTGGCTTTTTGGAGTTGAAGGCCTTGGGTGTAAGTGCCTTTCACATATCGTATGATGCGCTTCAAGGCCTGCAAGTGTTGTTGACGTGGATCATGCATAAAGAGGCAGATTTGATGCACAGCGTATGATATGTCAGGTCTTGTAATTGTGAGATATTGAAGAGCTCCGGCAAGAGATCGATACTGTGTTGGATCGTCAATCGGGTCACCTGAAGCTGCAGATAGTTTTGCTTTTAGGTCAACCGGTGTGGCGCAAGGCTTGCACTCCGTCATGCCTGCGCGAGCGATGATGTCTAGAGCATAGCCGGCTTGACTCAAGAATATACTTTCAGGTTTGAAGTCCGCCTTAATGCCTAGAAAGTAGTTTAGTTGGCCCATATCCTTCATCGGAAACTCCTGCTTGAGGAGGGAGATGATGTGGTGAAGAAACGTTGTGGTAGATACCGTGAGTATGATGTCATCCACGTAGAGGAGAAGATAGGCTTGGTCCGCACCTTTTCTGTACACGAATAAAGAGGCATCGCTTTTGCTAGCAACAAAACCAATGTTAGACACAAAACTGGCAAATCGAGAGTTCCAGGCACGGGGGGCTTGTTTTAAGCCGTAAATTGCTTTTTGAAGTTTGCAAACATGATTGGGAATCGATGGGTCTACAAAACCTGGTGGCTGAAACATGTATACGGTTTCCTCAAGATCGCCATGAAGGAAAGCGTTTTCCACATCAAGTTGATGAACAGGCCAGTCACGAGCAAGGCTGACATGGAGAACCGTTCGTATTGTTGTCGGCTTTACAACGGGACTGAACGTTTCATCAAAATCAACCCCAACTTCTTGTGATTTTCCATTAGCTACCAGCCTTGCTTTATATCGGGCGAGAGAGCCATCTGCGTTGAGCTTGTGCTTGAACAACCACATCGACCTGACAATGTTGACCCCTGGGGGTCGCGGAACAAGATTCCAAGTCTTATGCTTAATCAAAGCACCATGTTCATCAGTCATTGCAGGGTTCCAATTCGGGTCATTTAGGGCTGTTTTGTGGCTAATAGGAAGAGGAGAAAGAGGCGTAGTGAGAAGTGAGACAATGGTTTTTGGTTTATGAGTGCCTACTTTACCTCGAGTCGTCATTGAGTGAGGAGGTGGTGGAGGAGCGGGCACTCTGGGTTTGCGTCTAGGAGGAGGTGGGTTATTTGGAGGATTTGTAGTTGGGTTATTTTGTTGATTTGGTGGTGATTGTGGGAAAGGTGTTTGGAGAAGTGTTTGAAACAGAGGGGAGGGGTCCTCTTGGTGATCGAGAAATTTATAAGGAGACGGCTGATCTGAAAGAGGGGAAGCAGCCGGAAATATGGTTTCATCAAAAACAACATGGCGAGAGATAATGATTTTATTAGTTTTGAGATCAAGGCATCTGTAGCCACGATGTTGTGATGGGTAGCCGAGGAACAGGCATGGCGTTGTTCTGGGTGAGAGTTTGTGGAGGTTGGAATGATTGAGATTTGGGAAGCATAGACACCCAAAGACTCGGAGATGATCATAGGTTGGCTTTTTGTGAAACAGAAGAAAGTAGGGGATTTGATTGTTTATAGCTGATGAAGGAAGAATGTTTAACAGATGAACTGCCACTTGAAGTGCTTCAACCCAGAAACTAGGCGAAAGCTTTGCTTGAAAGAGCAAAGTGCGAACCATATTATTAATGGTACGAATTATGCGCTCAGATTTCCCATTTTGTTGAGAAGTGTGTGGGCAGGAGAATCTTACTTGTATCCCGTTTGAAGCACATAAATTTTGAAAGTTTGAGTTATTGAATTCACCCCCATTGTCACATTGAAAAGATTTTATTTGTGTCTGGAATTGATTTTGAACAAAAGAATGGAAGTGTAAGAATTTTGAGAAAACTTCACTTTTTCGACGAAGCGGATAAACCCAGAGAAAGTGAGTAAAGTGGTCGAGAAACAGAACATAATAGCGAATACCACTAGCACTTGAGAGAGGAGAGGTCCAGACATCAGAATGAACTAAATGAAAGGGTTGAGAGACTTTTGTTTCTGAAGCAAAGAAAGGTTGTTTTATTTGTTTTCCAAGTTGACAGGCCTGACAGATAGAAGAGAGGCTGTCTTTATTACATGATAACGAATTAGAAGCAACAATAGAGCGAAGGGAATCATTATTGGGGTGCCTAAGTCTTTTATGCCAAAGATGGGGTGAATGAGCGACAAGGGCAGAATGAGACGATGGGGATGATGAATGGTGAGGAGAAACAGGAACAGAGTAGAGATCACCTGAGCTATCACTGCGGAGAAGAGTTGTCCGAGTGTTCAGATCCTTCACAAAGAAACCAAATGGGTCAAATTCAACAGAGCACCAATTTTCAGTAGTGAATTTGCGAACAGAGATGAGATTTTTGACAATTTGGGGAGTAATAAGAATATTGGACAAGGAGAGGGGGCGAGAGGTGGTGTTGAGAGATGAATGTCCTGAAGCTATAGCTGGGATTGTCGAACCGTTACCCACAATGACTGAGTTTTTGGTGTTAAGATTAGGAACAGATTTGAGAATACCTGTAGAGGAAGCGAGATGTGCTGTTGCACCGGAGTCCATGAACCAATTTCCAGCAGTTGGATCTGTCATCGTCATGGTGTTGAACGCTGCTGCAAAATCTGTAGTTGGCTCGATCCCATGTTCAGCAATATTTGCAGATGGTAAAGTTTGATTAGGCGGACGAGGGCCCAACACACCTCTGAAATTACCCTGATATGGATATAAAGCCCATGGCCCAAATGGAGTCTGCCATTGCTGAAATTGATTGGGCCAGTAGGTGTTGGAGGCCCAGTTGTAGAACGGAGGTCGCTGTTGAAAATTATTTCTTCCTCTGAAACGATTTCCATTGTTCCGTCTGTTTCCGCGATTGTTGAATAGTCTTGGTAATGCTGGTTTCTCTGGTTTGGGTTGTGGAGATGTCACTATGAGGGCAGTAGAAGATGATGGGTGATCAGAATGAGATATTACTGGTTTGTGAGATTTCTTCAGACGTGATTCTTCTGATTCAAGCATGGATCTAGCAGTCGCGAAACTTGGAAAAGGTTCACGATGTTTGATAACATTGATGATGTTATCAAACCTCTCATTCAACCCGTTTAGCATATACATCACGAGAGTGCGATCAGGGACCAGAGCATCCACATTGGCGATGAGATCGGAGAGGGATTTAAGGCGTTGACAGTAGTCTTCGACAGATTTGTCTCCAATTTCCGTGGTTCGTAGTTCATTGTCCAGTTGAATCGCCCGTGCTTCTTTGTTGTTGCGAAATAGATTTTCAATGCGAACCCAGATGTCGCGGGAAGTGCCTCCGGTTTGGAACGCCTTACGGAACAATGGTGGTGTAAGAGTTCCATAAATCCACAATTTGACCAATCCATCACGCTTTTTCCAGGGCTCGTCGTTGGGTCCGGCGGGAAGGGCAGTGCCATCAACATGGCCGAGCACATCAAAGGTAAGACAATGTGTGAGAAAGAGTTCCCTCCATGCGTCATAGTTGTGGTCGTCTTGATCGAGAATTAGAGGAATGTGAGATTTGATGTTAGTGACACCAAATGCTCGCTCAATTGCAGCAGGAACATGAGCCATTGTTGAATAATAAAGATGAAGAAGAAAAGAGTTTTGAGAAAGAAAGAGAGAAGAGGCAAGAGATCGTAAGCAAAAAAAAAAAAAAAATGGCGTTAGCCGAAGAGCTCTGATACCATGAAAGCTGAACTGTCTTTCTTGATTTTCATTGACATTCTTTACATGAATATATACACAGGAATTGATCAGTGATTAACGGGATTTACCTTTGACTGACATAGTCAATATCTAATCGTATCAATCAAATTAATTACATGATTTGCTTAATATCTATCACTGACTTCTGAGTGTGCTTTGTCTTCCGTTAATTGTCCCAAATATAACCATTCTTCTCAATTCAACAAGCGAGACTTTTTCAAGTCTTGATATCAGTATTTCTCTAGTTTTGGTAATAATTTATATGATGAACTAAATGAAAATTAGATTGCTTTGGAGGGAGGGATTGTCTTC